TTCTAATAATAATAATAATAATAATAATAATAATAATAATAATAATTTGAATTTATTATATTTAATTTATTATAGTTACTAATATAAAGAATTTTTTAAATAATTTATAATTATTTTTAATAATAATTATATATTTTAATTGAAAGATTAAAAATATATTAAAATTATAAAATTTATTATTTATTATAAAATTACTTATATATTATATTATTCTGAAAAAATTTTATAATTTTATATTTTATATTATGATAATAAATATTATAATTATAAATTATTATTTTTTATATTATTATTATTATTATTATTATTATTATTGTTATTATTTTAAAAATATTTCTATTATATTTATATTTATATATAATAATTATTTTTAAAGAAGATATTATTAATTATTTTTATTAAAAAATTATGTATTTAATATTTTAAAAAAATTAATAATTTATTTATATATATTAAAATTATTAAAAGTAATATATATATTAATAATATTATTTATTTTTTATTTAAATATTATTTTTTTATAGTTAATTTAATTTATTATATAATTAATATATATTAATTTTAAATATTAATTTTATTTTTTTATATTTTTTTATATTTTTTTATTTAATATTATATTTTATAATTTTTTTTTATTTTATTTTACTTTTTAATTTAATTTTTTTAATTTTAATTTTATTTATAGTTATTGATTTTATAATATAATAAAATTATATTTAAATATTATACTCTTTTAAAATAAAATTTATAATAATATATTTTAAATTACTTTTTTTAATTATTAAATTAAATAAATAAATAAATATTAATTTAATTAAAAGTAAATATTATAATTAATAATTAAATTTAATAATTTTATTTTAAATGTTAAATAATTTCTCAAATAAAAATATTTTAAAGTAAATTTTCTAATAAAAAAATAATATAAAAATTATAAAAAATTATCTCAAATATAAAAAATCTTATATTTATAAGTTAAAAATTTGTTAAAGATAAAAAATAAAATAGAAAATATCAAAAAACATCAAGAAAAAAAATTCAATATATCCTCTTTCTACGCCAGTGCATCCTATTTCAATATGAAAACATTAAGGCGGAATAACATGACTAGCATGAAAAGTAAAAGAAAATGAGTTTAAAACACCAAAACCACAAACTAAAATATGAAGAAATGAGAATGAAAACACAAAGGAAATAGATCAATGACATCAGGCCTAGTAGGATATAGTATTAATAGAAAGTATTGAGAAAAACTATAGCGTCGGGCTAATATAATTGGACCGGATAGATGCGGGTGTAGATATAAAACGAGGGTAAAGCAACCTAATTTTTAAGAATATGTAGAAAACATTATGCGACGCTGGGAATTGGGGACCATTTTTGGTCGGAATGAAATGCAAGAATATAGGTAAAGAGGAGGGTTGTGCTAATAAAAAAAAAAGAAGCTGGTTAAAACACAATATATAAAAATGTGGCTAATAGATGACGGCATTAAAACAATCAAATGCTGATAGACTATTACCGAATACCTTCGGCAGAGTTGTGATACCTAATGAGATAAGGAATGAGAGAGCACATGTTGTAGGAACATTCAGTTTGGAAATATAAATGTTAAGTGTGGAGTTGTAGTGGATGTATCAATGCATCTAGCAGTGATAAAACGATAAGCGCAGGATAGTCGAAGAGCGTCAGGGTTGATATATAGGACACCCATCACCTTTGAGGATGAAAAACTAGAGGTGAAAAGAACGCCGTTATCTTCTTTCAAGTATTGCGTGGGAGGAGTATCGGTAAATTCAAAGGGTTGTTTCAAGAGGGATAGACTCGGAGGGTTCGTTAAAAGGCGTGGTCGTTCGTCGTCATGGTTGGTGGTGTTGATATTCGACTATAGTTAGGATCGTTCCAGGCATGGACGCCTGCTATAGATAGGAGGGGGTGGTAGTGGCCAGTATTTTCGCTATCGACCCTGATTCGATCGATCAGGATTGGGCTGCCCAGTCTGGCTGGCGGTAGGATTTACCCATTCCACCGTTCCATTCCGGGACGCTACGGGAATCTTTGTTTCATCAGACGATGCGCTGTTGCCATTGATGCTGGTGTTGGTATTGAGCTGTTCATTGGGGAACAAGTTGTTGATTTCCGTCGCAATCGCCTGAGCCATGTATCCACGAAGTTCCCGCTCCTCCCGTTCATCCTCCTTCATCAGTCGTCGACGCTCCGCTTTGGAAAGATTATCCCGTCGCATTCGTCGTATTTCATGGATGACCCAGAGTAGAACCTCCTCGGGAGCACGTGTACGGGATATGCCGTGTTTTGCTGGGTTGCGAACATATCGTCGTGTAACGTCGGTTGCGCCGTCGATTGAGAATGCAATACAATATGCCATTTTGCGATTCCACCCTATAGCAAAAAAAATAAATAAATAAAAATAAAAAAAATTGCGATTAATTACGGCT